GATACCGTATCAAAGGCCTTCCTGAAGTCTATGTATACGACATCCACCCCTCCTCCTGTGTCCAGGCGTTTCATAACCTGGTCATAAAAAGAGATTAGATTAGTCAGGCACGATCTGCCTGCTACGAACCCATGCTGGTTTCCCCTTTATTTTTTTTTTATTTTTTTTTTTTTCTTAGTCTTCTGACTCACACTGCCCCAATGATTCATTCTGAAACACTGATGCTTTGTGGAACAAGGACCCAGAGCCCAGATAGGAAAGAGAACTCAAAGTCTCACGGAGCCCAGCATGCGCGTCCCACAACAGGGATCCCAACTGCAGACCTCTTCCTGCATCTAAGATGGCCTAGTTCCCACAGGGCGCCCTTCACAGCAAAGCCAAGCCTCCTCCTCCTGTGGCACCAGTGAGCACACGAAGCATCAACACTGTGGCTCAGCAGACAGGATGCAGAGCCAGTAAGAAGGAGAGCTGGGCCACTTCAGCTCAATGGCAGGCCAAACTCCCTGGCAGGTGTGCCACAAATCAAGCCCCGTGCTCTCCCTGAGTGCCACTCCGATCCCACTCCCTCACCAATCCGCCACTCTGCTCTCTGCCCGACCTGTGCCACACTCATGGCACATGGGCCGCAGGTGGTCCATCCCTGCCCCACCCGCTGCTGTGACCCCAAGTTAGTAACCTCCTCTGCTTCCCCCTTCTAGGACGACACCGACATTTGCAAAGAGCCCTGAAATCTAAGAAATAAAAGCACTAGGGAAGTGCCGAACATGCTGTATTGCCACTTTGCTGCCCCAGTAGCCTCCACAACCCTCCAAAGTGGCAACAGCTCCAGGAACATGAAATCTACACCATGCCTAGATAAGTTTGCTAAAACTATACAATGAATTGGCCTGAAACCATGGCCAAGACATCTTTCTTCTTGTGGCACTGCTACCACCAAAAAGGCATTGGGCAGCTTCTCTCAAAACTCAGGCAAAGCATCCAATCTGATCCTCGTCTAATTCAGATGACCCCTGTCAAGAGACTAACTCGCACAACAGCTGAACTGACAAGATAACTGATAGTTCAGCTGTCAAAAAGGGAACTACCAGCTGCAGCAACCCGGACCCACCACTCTCCAGGAGCTGCAGGGCTGCGCCGCATCAAAGCGCCAGCGCCGAGGCAAGCAACACTCTGCGTGGCCTCAGTGGGTGGCCTGCCCGCCCTAGGACTCCAGCCTCAGATCCCTGCCCCAAGAGCAGAAGAGAACAACATCCAACCAAACCAGCCAGTCAGCAGCAGTTAAAAATCCGCCCCTGTACTTCCTCTATGCTTGGAGTTCACCTTTCCACTGCCAAAAGCAAGCGCCGACACTTACAGCCGTCCCACGATGGCCCTCTCTCTGGCCTTGCCCAAGTCCGGTCCGCTGACAGCGGATTCCTCTTCCATTGGCCCAGCCTGGTCCTCTGTCTGAGAAATGATGCCACTGGGAAGAGAAGGAAATTTCCTTTTTCTTCATGCTACACATGCAGCTCCACTGTACATAGTAAATCTTTTCTTCATCTTGGCAGCCTGTGGCACCCATGCAGCTCATGTGCTGGTCCCTGCCACGTGACCTGGTTCCTCAGGGAGCAAAGATCCGCACCAGGGTCTCCTCACCACTGCTGCCCACCCCACGCAGCCCTACGCCACCGGGGCAGCATGGAGCGGGCAGCAGTGGTGAGGAGACCCCTGGCATGGATCTCTGCTCCCTGCAGATCCAGGTCGCATGGCAGGGACCAGCAGACTCGCTCACCACTCTGCGCTGCTTCCCTGCCCTGCAACCCGGCATGACAGGGATCAGAGATCCACACGGGGGTCTCCTTGCCTGCACAGAGAGCAGCGTCCCTCCCCCGGATGTGCCACCCACGGCCCTGTCCTGCTCCCCTCTGGGACCCTACAGCCCCAAGCCCTGCCTGCCTGGGTAGGTCTGTGCAGAGCTTCCCTTGCAGCCCATTCAAAACAGATTTGAAGGAGATTCGGCCAAAATGAAACAGGACAGTGATCCAAAACACCGAAGCGAATCACTGTCCTCCAAAATGACTGAGTCTGAAACCGAATTGAAACACAGCCATTTCGCACAGCCTTAGTACTCAATCTTCAGACATGCAACAGTCCTTCTTCTGAAACATGTGAGCTCCCTCCTACACAGCCCACTGGACTTTGGGCCCTGAACTGGGTGCCCGTGCCGCACCCCAGTGCCCTCCAATCTTCCTCTTACAGCCACAGCCAGTCTTCTGGTCCAAACATAAATTAAAATGTGAGCGTCTGCTCCCAAACACAAAGTTCCCCCATCAGGGTTAATCCCACCCTGTGGTAGCACTAACACAAAGACTCAAGGCACTTCTGTCTTGCTGCTCGAGGTGCAGGGTTTCTTCCACCCTTCCGTGATGCAGAGTCATCCCTCTGTACACAGCCCAGACTGGCTCTTCTCTGGAGCTTTGTCTCCTATGGCTCCTATGGCCAGACTGCTCCTTCTGGGACAGGCCCTGGGCTTATGAGCCTCTCCTTGGGTCATCTGACCCTCTACTTCTGCCCCAGGCCTACCAATCACCTCCAGCACCTGAGGTAGGCTGTCATTTTATTTAAGTGCCCTTTTGCCATTATAAGTCTGTTCAAGGGGCTGGAGCTCCCTTCCCCTCTCAGTAATGGGGCAGGGGCTCCCCCTTTACACCATCCCTGCTATAGTCTACTTTCTACTTTCTTCCTAACAAAGTGCTTTGTTTTTAAAGAAAGAAAGTGAACACCAGCATTCTGAAGGGCCTGTGCATGACTATACATGAAGGCCCTAAATATGATTATATAAATCCTAACAACCAAAATATATATTTATTGAGTAAAAAAGCTCTTAACAGTTTAATTTATCATTTTAAATCACTTCGAAATCACTTATTTTGTTTGATATTTTTTGTAAAGATGAAAATGAATGCCGAACCAAGCCAGGTATCTGTGAAAATGGGCGCTGTGTGAACACCATTGGAAGCTATCGGTGTGACTGCAATGAGGGATTTCAATCAAGCCCATCCGGCACTGAGTGCCTTGGTAAGTTTAGTTCCCTGCCATACGTTTTCATTACGTGAAAAATTATATACGCAACCCCCGCTTAGCGCTCTTGCTTCCTGAAAAACCGAGCGTTAAGCAAAACGAGTGTTAAGCGAAACAGAAAGTATTTGATGATCCAAGATGGTGACTGCAATTGTTTTTAATGACCCGAGATGGCAACCGCGAGCGTTATAACAAAACTCACTAAGCGCCTAGTGAAATCAGGTATCAATTTAAAATGAGCGTTGTAGTGAAACAGCATTAAGTGGAGGTTGCCTGTAAACTCCAATGTGTTTTAAAATGGTGGTAGAATTTTTAAATAAAAGCATTGTAAATTTGCAGTATTTTGATTCCCCAGATTATTGCAAATATTGAGTGCTTCACATTTCTTGTCTATGTATGGAAGAGATTAAATATTATCCTTATTTTTTCAGGATTATGATAAACTTGGCTTTCAAAGAAAAGAAGCTGTTGGTTTGTTTTGTTTCTGAAACAAATGAGGCATTTCAAATTCAGAAAAAAATACATCTACAGGTCTAATGCCAAAGAAAAAATAGTTTGCATTCAGTGTAAGCCATGCTGATGTTAATGTCAAGAAAGAAAACTGAACATTAAGAACAAAATATGCCTAGATATTTAATGATTCTGAATATATATTTTTTCAAGATACTGATGCTACGGATATCAGACTTCTGCTGTTCCTAATGTTTATGTGTAAAGGCATGGACAAAGCAATACTTTTTCACTAAAATTTTTGAAACACAGGGACCTCCTGGATCATCAAAGATATTGTAGGCACTGCAACATAGATTCTTTCATAAACTTATCAAGTTCCATTCAATAAGTCATTAGGGTTTTTCTTTTGACCCTGCTACGGCTTCTGCAGATCATTGCTTTAAAGGTTAGAAACCTTCTTCTAACTTCCAGCCTAAATTTCTTGGTTAGTAAGATATTTCCCTCCTGTGTTCACTTGTTGATTATTTTCTGGTGACTGTTTAAAATAAGGGACATCAATGGCAAAATTCTGTAAGTCTTAGGATCTAAGTTCAGGCCTTTGATGAAAACTTTAAATAAACTCTAAACAATTAAAAGAGTGGTGATGCAAATATTAAAGATTTATTACCTAGTAGGAAACAATAAAACAGTTTTAGAACTGTCTTGTAGCCTAGAGGAAAAGGAGGATGAGGGACATTTCCAATGAATGGGAAGATGCTATAGCTAGTTGGAAAGCTTGGCATTACCTGTTGAAGAAAGGGAAACTATTAGAGTTGTTGAATATTGGGGCTTGTTTCGATAGAAACTTCTGAAAGCTGGACAGAGCAATTTTCAGTCTTCAAGAATTGGTTTCACTAATGACAATCATCCACTTTCTGTGGCGGAGGTTCAACTATGTTGGCACAGCCTTCAGTCATCCACCTTCTACTGATGACAATGTCCAATGGGGCCACAAATTTTGCAGCAGTACTCAGTGATTAGGCACTGTCCTGGGAGGTGGGAAATGTAAGTTTTAATCCCCTCAGGCAACAGAGGACAAACTAACTCTTCTATTTTGTGAGCAGGTGCTATCACCACTAGCTTACTATATGAAAAGAGGCTGTAGTACCACTCTTACCTCCTTTCACTTTATTTTAGAAGTTAGTCATTACAGTATAAATCCTGATGCTATCTGAATGTGTTAGGCACATTCTAAGACTGCTTACTAGACAATGCTCTTGGGGGACTCCCAACAAAGGAACATCTAATTTCTGAATTGGATGGGGTTTATACATGAGCAAGGTGCTCCTGAGGTTTCAGTTGAGCAGTTTAGCATCTGTGCATCTACAGAAGCAGAATTTTGAGCACCTGAAGACTTGATATAAAAAAGTGAGGTGTTGATAAAATTAGTTGCTTCGTGAGCTAACTAGAGATTTTCATGACTGCAGTTTTGGATCTGGCTGTCAGTGTCTTAATTCACGTTGCAAATTACTAATACAAAATATTAGATTTTACAAATGAGTATAGTTAAGTAGATTGAGGACAAGATTCTACTGGGGACAAGATTCTATCGGTACTATTAAATGCTGATCAGGATGGTCATGTTCAAGTACATTTGCCTTATAAAACTGCAGTCTGTTTTTTGTTATCAAATGGAATCCAGCTACAGGATCTCCTCTTGAACAATATTCATAGAATCATAATAGATAATAATGCATGTTTCAGTGCCAAGAAATGGATTTATAGAATTATTTAATAGGATTTTTGCATTTAAAAATCTTTCTGATTATTATTTTACCCACTTATGGTATAATCAGTTCCATGTAAAGTGTTGATCCCATAGCAAAGCAATAATATTCAAGGTGCGTTACATTTTCTGAGGATTAATGACCAGATGGGAAGAGGATGCCTTGGGCCATTAGCCCCAGCCAGTCTTTAATCCCAAGGAAATTCCCTGCATGGAGGTCATTATTGCTCTTTAGCTTAAATATATGGAAACATAGTTTAAAAAATTGTAATCTGGGTTTGTTTGCACCTTGCTGTTTTTTCGTTAGGGCTTTTAGGGTTATGGAATCATTAAAATACCTTGGCTGTGTTGCCTGTTTCTTAAGAATTAAAGCCCAGCACATTTGCTAATCAGATTCTGTGATCTAATGCAAAACGTCTACTTAATATATATCATACAGTCCTGTCTCAGGCTTCTATTAAATTTAAAATATATTCCACGTGTCAAGTATTCTGTGTGTTAAGTATGAATCAAAGCTTTGTATGAACATGGGCCTCCTGGTTAGAATGTGCACGGTGAACTTTAGCTTCCATGCACAATACACCTATTTAGTGGAGCAGAAGTCTACTTCAGTTAGTTCATATGTAGCATAAAGAAAAGAACTAAATAATGTTAACATTTTCAGAATCAGGCATAATAGGAACATTCTGCACAGGTGTAAAGCCTTAATGATATTTAAATTAGTTAAGCAATAAATGAAATTACAGTTCATTATTAGTACATACAAATTAGGATAGCCAGAGGCTTGCTCAATGTAATTGCATTTAACTGTATTTCAGACACGGGGTTTAGTCATCTAAACAAATGGAATGAAAACTGAATGTGAATTTTGTGCTCTTCTTTCCATTAAATTTTCATGGAAAATTGGGTAAATTGGGTACTGGGTAAATTTAGTTATCTGACAATCAGTAACAGTGTTACAAAACACTCAAGTGACTTAAGTGCCTAAATCTCATTGACACCCTCATTATGCTTTGGATTCCTGAAGTGCTTTTGCAAATTTTTCCTGTATCTAGAATTACTAATCCTAGTTTACATAAAGCATTTTAAAAAAACCTTTTAGTAGCCACTTGCAGATTCACTGTTTAAGGAATTAAGGGCATAAAGGTAATATTTAAAATTCATATATATATATAAATCTACATCTCAAACTAATGCCTGCTACTTAGCACAGCCTCTCTTGTATGGACCTAATCCACATTCTAGCAATGTTCCTTGGTAACTATGACATCATGACATGATGAGTGCACAGATATCACAACAAATCTGAAAGTGGATAAAACCCTACACCCTGCCTTTCTCAGCCCATATTAATATTAATTTCCATAGCAACAATTTATTTTAATAGAGGTTTATGCATTTTTTTCCCTAATAGTGGAACAAGCTTGATTTTAAAAATCAGCGAGGAACAAGTCTTTAAGAAATAGATTTATAAAAAGTACTTCTCTTCTGACCAAAATGGTCTAGAGATCTTGCCAGTCTTTCCAATGCTGTGGTAACCATGCTTCCTTGACTAACAGATATAGATCACACTCTCATTGAAAAGATCAGTCTTTATTTAGTATCATCAAGTAACATAGCTTGCTGTTCAAATTAATGGGATGACTCATCATAGGTCTATAGGGGGGAAAATGACTCAATTTCTGCAGGGAGCTTGCTGATTTTATTCCTTAAATACAAGAACTTTGCTGTCGCTTGCCTGCCTTCAAAGTATTTGTGAGAATGAACATAATGTGCAAGCAGAACTTACATCAGAAGCCATTCAGCTGAATCAATTAGCATGATGATGTTTTTGGTTCCTCAGAAGTAAATCTGCTTCCTTAACATTTCTCATAACAAATTTTCAAGTGCTAGTGGTCTGCACCTAGAGAGAGATTTCAAAAACTAATACAAACCCAGGAGTTCATAAAGTCAAGGGTGTATTACTTTTAGTAGAATGTAACTGTTTTTTAATACAAAAGGAAACAGTTTTTTTTTTTTTTAGTAAAAAAGCTGTTGTCATGCAAGAATCTGCAGTAAGGAAAGCCAGACCATTTTAACTAATGACTCAGGCAGGTGACTGCTCTTAATACCTTCTGCATAAGAAGAAGAAGAAGAAAGAAAGCTCCTGGGAGAGTTAGCATATAAACCTTCAGAATTTTTTCATCCTTAATGAGGGTTTCAACTATTCTGCTATAATTAAATCAGCAAAACCGTCTGTGTTTAGACACAGGCCATATACAAACATCGAGTTTCTCCTGGGAGAGTTGACAATCTCTGGTTTTTTTTCTTTGTTTTCTTTTGTTTTTTCTTTTATTTTTTTTACTATTTGCTTGTTTTTTGCTCTTCAAGCAAGTTGGCTGGTCTTCCAGGGTTGCTGGTGTACGTCCTTGTGAGGCATAAGTCATACTATAAGTTCCATGAAGCACTGAACATTTTGAAAGTTAGAAACAATAGAAGATTGTCACAGATAGTACAAAGAATTTTTGAAAGATTAAGTTGAAGTACTATCAGAGTACTATCAGGAGTTTTTAGCACATTAATCCACAGATCTCAGTTTCCTCTTGTAGGTTTTACTGAAAGCATTCAGATGTAATTTTAATAAACCAGACAGACTTACCGTTTCATGTGCATATATTCTAACTTGACCTTTGCACTCTCATTACAGATAACCGCCAAGGATTCTGCTTTGCAGAAGTGTTACAGACCATGTGTCAGATGGCTTCTAGCAGCCGTAATCTTGTCACCAAGTCGGAGTGCTGCTGTGATGGAGGTAGAGGTTGGGGTAACCAGTGTGAGCTGTGCCCACTTCCAGGGACCACTCAGTATAAGAAACTCTGTCCACATGGACCAGGCTACACTACAGATGGAAGAGGTATTTTGGGGGCAAACAGAATAAGTGGGGACTGACCTAAATTGCAGAGAGACAGAGGGCTTTTTGTGGGTCGCTCACGGCATATGGTATTGATTTTGTGGTCTTTTTGCGGTAAGCACA